GTACCATAGGATGGGCTTGAATCCATCCTGGCGCGAATTTTTGCCCTACTATTATAAGCAGCCAGAATACTGTCTACTTAACATAATGACTCAAAAATGTTATGGATTTGTCCTATCTACGTTATTTTTCTGAGTGGTATCTTGGTACCTTTGCATGGAGTTATGCTGACAAATTTGTTCCTCTTAATGAAATCCTTTTCGAGCAATGTCTCAACCAATAAATCCCAATTTTGCGGCTTAAATGCACAATGTCTACCTGCATAACGTCACAATTACCATTGGAGAAACTTTTTGATCACTTTTGACCGTGTAGATTTGTACGTGCAGGATCGTGGTACATTTGGAGTGAGCCTCTAGGCTTCCGGTGCAAATGTATGGCAGATCCTAAATTTGAATCCACACACTCATCGGACAAACTTTTCGATCACTTCCGACAGAGCAGAATTCTTTGTGCAGGATCAGGTGTAGCCCGAAATCCCATTTCACACACATCCAAAATAAAAACACCAACAACCAACCGCCAATATGGATGCCAAACAACAACAAATTGGCAAGGAATTGAAGGTTACCAATGCCCAACAACGAACGCCCAACAACGAACGCCCAACAACAGATTGGCAACGAATTGAAGGTCGGTGGCCATCTGCCGGAGAATGGAACTGGACAATCATTTGATTTGTGTTCTCAATGTTGTGTCTTGGGCTCATCGGAGAAACTTTTTGATCACTTTTGACCGTGTAGATTTGTACGTGCAGGATCGTGGTACATTTGGACTGAGCCTCTAGGCTTCCGGTGCAAATGTATGGCAGATCCTAAATTTGAGTCCACACAGTCATCGGAGAAACTAAATCCCAATTCACAAACATCCAAAATAAATACAGCAACAACCAACCGGCAATATGGATGCCAAACAACAACAAATTGGCAAGGAATTGAAGGTTGCCAACACCCAACAACGAATTGGCAACGAATTGAAGACCGGTGGACAATCAATTGCAGAAGATGGCAATGTTGACACAGCCGTCGAAAGAGACACTGCTGTTGTTTGGGAACAAGCAAATGGGACTCTGTTGGATGATGACGCCCGTCAGCAACA